AAATCACCCAGAAATCTCCTCAGCCTGTCTGCCTCTGCATTTGGGTCCTCCAAACCACAACCAAACCCTGACACTGAGACTGAAAATAGTGGTTAGATAGAGTTTATTTCAGATGAAAAGCTTTTATGTGTGGAGCAATAAGAATGAGAGGCTATCAGCACATGGTTACAATCTCAATATATGTTTGCATTACCTTAGAAATTGCTTTTTACGATTACTTAGGAGTGGGTGTCCCCAGGGACACATCTTTGCCACACTGCAGCACAGTGCTTTCAAGCTAATAACTATAGAGATTGCCATTACAATATGATTGTAGCTAGGCAGGGCTGTATAAAATCCTATACAGACTAATAGAATACTATTTGAAAAATTTAATTTAAACTAGACCTAGATCAGCCCATCATAACAATATAAAGACAGTGGATTTTAATTGCTTGTTATTGTGTTTTTGATGGTTTTATTCTGAGCTGACTCACATCTTTCTGGAATGGTCAAAGTGGCCAAAACAGGAGAAGAGCAAATATCTGTGACTTAATATTTGAGCCAGGCAATTTTTGTTTCCTCAACCTGACACTTCTGGAGTTTCTCACAAAGTAACTCAGGCTGAATTACGTTAAATGGCCTGGAAAAAAACAAACAAAAAAAAACATGATCCTCAGAATGCTATGTTAAATAAAACAAACAAACAAACAAAAAAGTAAACCACCCATTTCTCAAAACCTTTTGCACATCTGGAAAGGTTGGCCATTTCAAATATTTAAATTTGTGTATCTGAGTGGGTTACTGTTTCATTTGACCATAAATTTCAAATATTGTCTTTAACTTATACTGTAAACGTTTTTGTTCAACTTAGATATGAGATAAGACTTAGAAACTTAGATTAAAGTGCTATATAAATAAGGTTGTATTTTATGGAATGGTAGAAAGGCAAAACTACATAGTAACCCTTAATTTAATGTAGAAATAAAAAAAAATATTTATCTATCTGTGTCTATCTGTGTAAAATGAAAAAATAATGACCAAATAACCTTAGGAAAGAAAAGATTTTAGAGGCACACTTCCTAAACATTTTGTAAATGTATATATTTTGGAATGGAATTAACCATTAAAAAGTAACATACAGCAATATAAAATTAAAAACATCCAATAGGTGAAAAAATATAAATAACTGTTTTAATACATAAATCTCAATATCCGTTGGACTCAGATTATTTCCATAGAGCCACTTTGCATCAGCAGCTCCATGCTCCAGCGCTCTGGGAGAATTTATAGTCCTGA